GCACTCCAACATACTCTAGGGATGACTTGAAACTGGGGTGGATGTTCCATATCCGATCGGCCAAACTTTGCGCCACATTCCCACACCGCACAGCGTTCTGGAAGGCATGCTCTGCACTTCCAAGCACAGCGCTACAGCCTTCGAGATGCAACGAACAAGCTTTACCAAGACGGAATACCTGCAAACACAACACCCGACTACTCCGCCCGCGTTTATAGATTCCACACCCACCCCTAAATCTGAAAAGATTAAATACCTGGGATCTATGGTTTCTTGGACTAACCCACGCAGCCTACGGTAAGCTCGTCCCCTTCTGGAAAGCCACAATCCCTAAGAAAACAAGACTCGTCATATTTAGATCATACGTACTTTCAGTACTCCTCTACGGCCTATCCACACTCACCCTAGAAGATAAACACCTGAAGAAAATTGATTCTTGGTATTTTCAGTTTCTAAGGAGAGTCGTTGGCATTAAAGCATCATACTACTCCCGAATCCCAAATAGAACAGTCTGGGCCAAAGCAAACCATCCCACACTCCCCTCACAAACCCTAATTGCAGAGCAGTTCCAACAGCTTATTACAAGCTTGGCTACTCCGCACAACGACCCGATCCACCACGTAGTCTTCTCCCCTGGATATAAAGATAGAGTAGGAATCCGAAAGAATCATAAGCGAGGTCCTCCACCCCCGCACTGGCTAGGATTAGTTTCGGAACGAGCGCTCGAATTCTTTCGAAAAGATGTAAGGAAGCAACCCGGCTACTCCTCCCAACTAAGAGTAGACTTTCTGGGATTGAAGCAATATCTTCAGAAGCACCCCAGCTACTCCGCTCGCTTGGCGGCAGCGCCTACGCGCTTTGCACATATGTTTTCCATCTATCAAAGCAGCATCGGTGGCGCATGGCGGTCGTAAAAAAAAACACTACAGCCAAAAATCCTAAATTTCCTAAGCCCTTCATCCCCCGAACCCTCCGGGAGCACCCTAAAGGTTTGGGGGTGTAGGAAATGCACCGCTTGTAGTTTAGGGGCCTGCAATACTTGGAACGGGGTTTCGGCTATATCATACTAGAATTATAGAGGGGCTACCCTGAACCCTAACTCATAAACCCCCCTAAGCCCTCATTCTTAATGATTCGGACCCAATCTTCTGTGTCCAGGGGCTGCTGGCTGGCTTCGCCAGAGGAAAGTCAGGCTCCCAGTCCTTGCAAGTCGGGAATTTCGGTTTTAGGGGGTAGAGGTTTAGGGTTTAGAGGTTTAGGACTTATAGTTTAGAACTTCGGTTTTAAGGCTTATAAAGGTTTCTGATTTGGAGCTTAGATGTTAGAGGTGTCGGGCTCGGGGGGTTGAAGGTTTTTGAAAGGAAAATTTGATGACTGCCAGCGACTAGCGACCACCAGGGTTTAGGGTTTAGGGTTTAGGGTTTAGGGTTTAGGGTTTAGGGTCTAGCGACCACCAGCCCGCGTCGGGCTTGGGGATTAGAGTTTGAGTATCGGGTTTGGGGTTTAGCTCACCCTCAGACTCTCCAGACGAGGCATGCGTCCACCGAGTTTAAAGGAAGCTGACTCCGTGAAGGCAACACCAGCATTCATTCTCTCACGTTCGGACTTGCCAGATGTGGTTTCAAGATGCTCAGTCGGCAGCAACCAGCTGTTCTGCCTTCATCAGCTTTTGTTGGCAATCCGAGTTCGGGCTGCCAACCCTGCATGTCGGCTCGCGTTGATGCATGCCGGTCTATCGCCTGCCGCCAATGACATGTGTTGCAATGCCCACGTGAGAAATCGGTGAAATCACGCTGCAGAGAAGCACATGGAAGTTTCTGAGAATAGGGGACCCTAATATAGTACCCTAAATAGTAGGATCCCTATTATAAGGACCCCAAAATAAGGTACCCTAATTTTCGGAAACTCCCACATAAGAACAACTGAAACAAGCCAAGGCTCAGCCAGATCATGAGACCTAGGGATCCGCAGACCTGTTTTTTGCCATAGTCTACCAGTTTGCTTTGGGTTCTTGCTGGTTTTACCATTGTTGAAAGCGGCTCATGGTACTTATCTCTCACTATTGCTGCCTCTTTTAAATGCGTGGGTTCAGGGTTTACAGTCGAGGGCTACCTATATTCTCCATTGTAGTTCCTTTTTGTGGTTTAACCAATTATATATTAAGGATTTCATAAGGGATCCCCAACAAGGAACTACAATGGAGACTATAGGTAGTTCTCTACATGAGTTCATCGATCCCAGGCTTATGTAAGCTGTAGTTCGTCTGTTCATTTGGGCTCAGGATTCAACACGAAGGTGCTACTTGCCAACCCTACTAAACTCTAAACCCTAAACCCTAAACCTAAAACCTAAACCCTAAACCCTAAACCCTAAGTCGAGATTCGGGCGCCCTTCTGAAGGGACCTTGTTTCAGGAATAGCTCAAGCAGGCCGGGGGTCTCTTATCGGTTCCTAATACACGGTTTAGGGTTTAGGGTTTAGGGGATATGGATCCCTACAAACAGCCTCTGAAAACAGAAAGCCCAAGTAAAGAGACCACCGACCTATAAAAGGAAGAGCAGCAATATAGGGGCCCTTAATAATTAGAATAAGGTGTTGGGGCCCATTATACTATGGCTAGAATAAGGAGCCCCCAAAATAGCATAGGTAATTCTTAGGGCGCCTATAGTAATTTGATCTTACGGCTTTGTAGGGCAAGCCCTGGTTCCCGAATCCGGCCCAGGGCATTCTCCGAACGACTGCTGCAGGTCATTTCGGGTTTAGGCCGGAGACTTGAGTTTGGGGTTTAGAGTTTAGGGGTTTAGGGGTTTAGAGTTTGGGGGTTTAGGGTTTAGGGGTTTAGGGGTTTAGGGGTTTAGGGTTTAGGGCTTAAGGAAAAAAAGCCTCAAATGGCAACATACGCAAGTTCTGCTGGACCCTAAACCCTAAAACCCTAAAACCCTCAAACCCTAAGCAAGTCGTAGCGTACACGTAGCAAGCCTACGCACGTTTATTAAGGCTTAGGGTGGAACCCTCAGGATTCAGAACCCTACTTTAAGAACCCAAAACCCGCTCTTTTTTGTAGGTTCTTATTATAAACCCTAATATGGGATTTATAAGGACCCTACAAAAAAGTAGGTTTTGGGTTCTTAGGGTAAACCCTAAACCCCATAAGCCACTCCTTGAGCCCGGAGAACCTTTCTTAGGGTTTTTTAGGGTTTGGGGCTTTAGGGGTCCAGGGGCGTAGGGCTTATAGGGTTTAGGGCCGAATTAGACACCTTGAGCCTTCATGAAACTCACTCATTGAGACTTACTGAAAACTCGAGCTACGGTTCCACAAGCCCTGAAGACCTTCCACCGTACAGGCGCTGCAAGACCTATGGTAGGGTTTATTTTAGGGTCTGGTGCTTATAGGGCTTAAAGGTTTAGGGTTTATAGCTAGACTTTGAAATAACCAGGGAGAAAAAAGTATAGACTTTCATTTCATAATGGTTCCCTTACAGAACAGGCTCAAACAAATGTATTCAAGTATGGTACTCCAGAACCCAGATAGTGTGCTTGGAGGCCTACCTCAAGAACCCAAAACCCACTTTTTTGTAGGTTCTTATTATAAACCCAAATATATGGAATTTATAGGGACCCTACAAACAAGTAGGTTTTGGGTTCTTAAGGTAACCCTGAACCCTAAACCAAAGCACCTGCAGACTCACAAAGCTCGTCGCCAACTCTCGGCTGGCGCTTTTGAGCAACGCCTGGCCAAGCCGGTTCATAGGTTTCCGGCTTGGGTCTAGGGTTGGGATTTGAAGTGTTTCTCTTATGGAGGTGCTGTGCGTTTCAAAGTCTTCTTTGTTAAAGAGGTTTTGTAGGCACTATAACTAAGGCTTTGTGGTGCCGTATAACGATTGGTATCATGATCTCGAAAACCTTTTGTGTGCGGGCTTAAGGGCTCAAGCGGTTCGTTCAGCTACTTGTGATGGGCAAAATCCCGCAATGCCCCACGGATTGCTCAGCGGCGACCGCTGTCTTGAAATCCCGGACAATGAGAACCGGAAACCAAGACACCGAGGGCATTTCCTCAGCAGTCAAAACTCTGCACTCGCTTGCAGTGCTCTACCGGGCTTAGGTGGGTAAGTGTATCTGCATGCCGTAACCCAACAGCCACTCAAAGCCTGTGTAAGTTGGAGCACTTCGTCCTACAGCACCTGCAACATCCTGCAGCAGTGGCCCTTCACACTTAAACACTGAAGCCCTCTCCCAAAGATGTAAGAGACACGGCCTGGATGGAATTCCAACTCCGGACCTGTCTGTACAAGTTTAGGGTTCGGGGTTTATACGAGGCTGCTTTCTTCCAGAGGGTTTACGGGTTGAGCAGGTGTGTATTAAGGAGGGCTTAGGCGCTGGGTTGCGGGTCTAGGGTTTTGAAGGCTTGCGGGGTTTAAGGTTTAGGGTTGACAGTTTTTCGGCATTTGCGGCTCTGCATAGCTACGTCCCGTACACCCACATGGCACAGTGAAGTTAGCACCGGCGCGATGACAATGAATTCAGCCGTCGGGTGTGGCACTTTGAGTTCATGGACCGGGGCCTTACAAGCTATGGCCCATGATTTGCCACTGGCTGTCTTTATTTACCCCGTGTTCTGTTCTAAGCCGATGCCCTGAACATCCCTAAACCCTCAACTGTCTGTCTTATTTCTTGCTGATGGGAGGGGGGGGGGGCTGTTGAGGAGCTGAGGTCTTTACTTTGGGAGCACCTTCCGGGTCCTCTGGGGTTTCGCCTGCTCTGTTCTTGCAAAGACCAAGTACAAGGACAGAACCATTCTGGGTCCCCATTTTCGATCAGCCTTCGATAAAGTTTAGGGCGTTGCCCTGAACTAGGATTCTTGCGCGTCCATGCAGCTTGTTTGCGCGTAGCTGCAGGGATTTGTTTGCCCATCAACCAATCAATATAGGGGAGCTGCTTATTTCGAAGATGACTGCGTGTGTTTTCTGTCTTGCTATGGGGCCAATGTTGGCCTTTGCCAACGCCATCCAGCCCACAACAAAACCAACAAGGACAATCCACAGGTAAACCCCGTCGCGTGCATTCTGAACCCCTATCAAAACGCACAGACATGTAAACTCCTGTTGCAAGTCGTCCACAAAGAAGCCCAGCAGGCTCAAACCTAAACCCTCACACCCGAACGACACCCTGAAGAACAGCCCTTGGCCCGAAGCACTGAGGAATCCAAACCGAAGGCAACAATAAACGACCGTAACTCCCCGGAAGCCCAATCTCCAACTTCAAAATCCTGAAAGCCAAGCGACCCCAGGGATGAAGTCTGCGGTGTTGACGATGTCGCCCACCCAGCAGTCCAGAATTTGATCCAGTCCAAGCAGCCTTGGACTTCTTCACAGGCCGCCCATGTGGCGGAGCTATGCACCACAGTATCGGTCACCCTAAACCCTAAACCCTAAACCCTAAACCCTGAACCCTATAAACCCTAAGCCCTAAGCCCTAAAGCCCTAAAACCCCAAACCCTGCAGCCGAAGGCGCAGGTTGGATTGCACGTATGCCAGAAGCATTACCTCGGCTGCCAAGTTCTCTTTAGGATTTAGGGATTAGAGTTGATCTCTTCTCCAATAACTAACCGAGCCCAACAAAGCTCGAGCTTTTTCTCATGGACCAAATATGTAAGGCCAAGAAGTTTAAAGTTCGCCCATTGGCTAAGTAAGAGTTTCCCGGGCGTTATATGTATATATATATATATATATACACATAGAGGGGCTCGAACACTGCACCAGCGCAGATTGCGAAGCCCCCCAGAACTCAATGGAGTTCGCCAAGAGCCATCATGACGGTCTCTTACAATATCTTCGTTGCAGCAACATGGGGATGATGGTGGTGCTCGCCTCGGATGAGCCTTGGCACATCCTCTACGTGATCGTCCTGGTTTACCACTTGAACCACCTAGTCGACAATGCCTTCGACACTGAAGCCCTCGCCCACATGGCCTTGGGAAATCGGCTGCCGAACAACGGCAAGGGTGCCAACTTTTCCTGGATGGACTGGTGGTTTATGTTCTACGGGACCTGCGTGGCCCATGGCGCAGCATTTGTCGCGGATGCACCATCCAGCATGTGGTCATGTACACCTTGCCCTTCATGTATGCTTTGCTGTGGTTCTGCATCTTCAGTCGTTTCCGAGCCTGGAGGGCATCCAATTACCCAACAGCCTGCGGAGGTTGACGGCTTGCCTATGCATTCAACGAGAGGGTGGAGGGCAGTTAACTACCCAGCAGCCTCCAGAGTTTTATGTTTGGCTATTCATTCAACCTGGGCGTGGAGGGCATCCAACTACCTAGCGGCCCGCGGAGTTCGACGCCAGGCTCTACATTCAACCATTGTGTGGAGCAAGCAATTACCCAACAGCCTGCAGAGTTTCACGTTTGGTCGCCATTTCAACAAGAGTCTGGAGGGCTCCAACTACCCAGAAGCCTGAAGGGTACATGTGGTCGCCATTTCAACCAAAGCCTGGACGGCATCCAATTACCCAGCAGCCTGCAAAGCTCGACGCTTGGCTATGCGCTCAACCAGAGCCTGGAGTGCACCCAGTTATCCAGTAGAATGCGGATTTTGACATTTAGTCGTCATTTCAACCCGAGCCTGGAAGGCATTACTACCGCGGTGACTGTGCCCAGTGGCGTGTCTGAGAGCCGTGAGGAACAGGCTCAGGGTGTAAATGTGTTCATTTTGTTTGTGTTTCGGCAAGGCCCCGGTTTGTATAAAACGTTATCACTGTACATAGCGTGGCTTAGTTTGAAGGTCCTTTGGAAGAGGATTGCCTGCTTGGGCCCGACTTACAGGAATACTTCTTCCATTTGTGGTCATGTCTTTTGCCGCCAGAGTGCATTTATTGTACGTGTGGCCTACTGTTGTACAGAGCTGCAGGGTTGAATCAGGTTAGCCAGCAGCCACTGCGGGTCCATCATCCCTCGTCTTCGTTGGCTCGTGTAGGAGCTACTTGCTGCATCGATTGGTATTTGTCCGTCGGGCTTTGCCTGGCAGTTCTCGTTTGCACTGTCGTCCTTTCGGGTTTTTGGCCTCGAGTCTCGAGGCCATAGCGGCTGAAGGATAGGGTTTGCCATCGAGGGGCCCGGTTTGAGCGCATACTGAGCTCTGCCCCCGATGCGTGAGGCATTCAAGGCAACTCAGGCTTCTGCACCGGATCCACAACATGATATCATTGTGCTAGGCATGCGCCCCCTGGACCCTCAACGCTCCGAAAGAAAGAATATATATATATATATCTACATACAGAAATATATATATATATATATACATACATACACATACATACACATACATGGGTGTTGTTTTCAGTTCAAGAGCAGCGTGTTTTGGATTCACGAAAAGGCCTATAAAATGCAAGCTACCATTCCGGAAGCCATGGTGAAGCTGATGAAGGTGCACACGGCCACAACCACAACTACCTGTCCGGGACAGGAAATCGAGCTTCGGGCTAAGGAACTTAGGGTAATTTTAACGGCAACGGCTTTTTGGGAATAAATCTTAAGCCTTTAAGCCCAGTACCCTGGCCCCCAAAAAAATTAAGCTTTTCTTTTAGTAGGGGGTTTAATATATCAAAGCGTTTAAAGTTTACCGACTGGGCTCCTAAGTAAGTAAGTAGGCGTGGGAGAGTAGGGTTCAAGGTGAACTGGTCATCATCGGGGTAGCTATCCCGAATCGATTCCAAAGCCAGTTTCAAGTGGTGTCCTCGATTTGGGGTTGCGAGTTTAGGGTTTAGGGTTTAGGGTTGAGGGTTAGTTCACCCACGGGCACCATTGTCGATTCAGAAGGAACCGCGTTGACGGCGGGAATAGAGATGGTCTTATCTGCGGTCAGTTTTCCAAGCGCCCAATAGTCAGAATGCTCCGAGGATGAGCTCTTGGTGATGACCCTACAGCCCCTAAACCCCAAACCCTTAAACCCTAAATCCTAAACGCTAAACCCTAAAACCCTAAAGCCCTAAAACCCTAAAACCCTAAACCCCAAACCCTTAAAACCCTAAATCCTAAACCCTAAACCTACAAGTTGCAACGAGGATTAGCAACCTTAGCCTTGCTCTCAGAGATCCGAGGGAGCGCCATGGGCCAGCGACAGAAGTGTCTAGGGTTGTACGGTTTTAGGTTTTACGGTTGAAGGTTTTGGGTTTACGGTTCAGGGTTTAGGGTTTAGGGTGTAGGGTTGAGACTCGCACGCTCGCACAAGGCTTCGGGGCTTATAGGGTTTCGGAGATTTGAACTTATTTTCGGGCAAAGCCCAGGGTTTTGAGGGCTTTGGGCTCAGGTGTGAAGTACTGGATATATCTGTATTTCCTTCATGCCCTTATCTGCAAACCCTAAACCCTTTTTGCATCCAGGCCTATTGCGACTGCCGGGTACCCCTGAAAGGAGAGAAAACTGAGGGCCAGGCAAATCTGCAGAACCCTAAACCCCTAAACCCTAAACCCTAAACCCCTAAACCCCATGCCCTTATCTGGATTGTTTGGGTATGGCCTGCAGCCCTCCGACTTACAGCTGAAGCTCCACATGCAACTGTTCTACGCCCGAAACCCTAAACCCTAAACCCTAAACCGTGGATTTAGAGAACCCTACATAAAAAAAAATTTAGTTCTGCGCCCATCGTGGATTTAGAGTTTTAGGGTTCTTAGGGTTTAGGGGTTTGGGGTTTAGGGTTTAGGATTTAGAGGTTTACGGGTTTGGGGTTTAGGGTTTAGGGGTTAGGGGTCTTTCGGGTGCGACAGCTAGTAGAACGAAAGGAGAATCTTTTGAGAAGGTGTCGTAGAACTGAGAGAGGAATGCAATGCCCATAGCAGAAGTAGCCGTTGCTGCGGGGACTTGCCTGAAATCCCCACACCCGACACCCCACCATCTGAAACCTCCCTTGTGACCCCCCTACCCTACTCTATGCCGCCTCGCTGTGGATAGGGCTCGCACCGGCCCCATCACAAGTGCCCAAGACGATCCAGACCTCCAGTCCGAAAAAACTGAGGCCAACCGGAAATTCTGAACTTACAAGGGCTTAAGGCTTAGGGGGTTTAGGGTTTAGGGGGTTTAGGGTTTAGGGTTGCAAGGGCTTAAGGTTTAGTAAAGTTTAGGGGGTTACTCTCGCAACTCGGACAAGCCAGGAGAGGATTCATAGGTGCAGTAGTCGGCGAGGCTTCGGGGGTTTAGGGTTCTGGGTCTTAGGGAAACAGGGTGCAGGGTTTCGGGTTTAACCTCCTGCGACTCCGCCCCGAATGTAAGAACCTGACTGGACAGTCCCAGATGTTCTTGCTAGGGCGCTTTGTCAGGGTTTAGGGCCCCTTTTCAGCATGGGCTTGGATTGTGTGCCAGCGAACACACCCTAACCTCCCAGGTACCTACTATGTAGGGCCCTAGGTGCTCCAGTACCCTATATAGTAGGTACCTGGGGGGTTAGGGACACCTCAACAGCAGGCCCCGAAAGTTTAGGGCTTGATCAGGGTCTCAGGGAAGCATGGGTTACTAAATCCGACTATGCGGTGGACCTTTGAGAGGCCAGGGGTATTGTGGCTAGATGCAAGGTTTAGACACCAAATCCCCCAACCCATGACCCCCCAAATCCGTAAACCCCTGTAAATTCTCTCTTGCTACCGGCTGAAACACAGATGCTCGCTTTTTTGCCGTTGTCTAGCTATACATTACCCCAAACGGTTAACCAGAAAGATGACGCTATGCCATCCTCGCAAAGGACAGAGCTTGTGCAAGGCTAGTGTTTGGAGTTTAGGATGCTTCTGTTGCAGTGCGTGTCACGTGTCACTAGTTGCCGGTATCGGGATCATGACCATTGCTACTCTCGTAGTTCATCTTGTGGTGAAAATGACTGTCACTTCCGTTGCTATTCTATCGCTCTCATGTCCCTAGTAGGTTTACTCAAATTGAATAAGAATACGGCTACTGCAGCTTGTCATGAATATCCGTGTGCCTATGATCACAATGATGATCGTGCTTCGGCCACAATTCTGAATGCTCCTTGGAGGCTTACGTGAAGTGAACACTGTACCACGACAGGACTGCTTGCACTGTGGCTATGATGACATCGTTGACTCATCCTTCAGCCTCGTAGCACGGGCCTGAATAATCCAGGGCCTTACCAGATTGGAATACGATGTGGGGGGATACTATGACATAGTTACAACAGGGAGCCCTAAGAAAACTGGAAAATATTCAAGCTTGAAGTTTTTGTTCACGGCACATCGAGGCCGCATGTCGCAATGCCGCATGCGAGCAGTAGCAGCCAAGCTGAAAAATACCGCCAACCTTGCATTTGGGAGTTTAGGAAAATGTTGGACCACAATACAGAAATCCTTCATAGTGGGATCCTCCTTCTACGAATACTAGAGACAATTTGCTTCTGAAACACGATTTCTGGTCTCGGGTGTATTCGCAGCGCTTAGGCAGGGGGAGACAGGAATCAACCCTTTATTTAGGATCTAAGTAGGGTTTAGGTTTGGGGGTAGCCAACTTAAAGGGCCTGAGATGTGCTAACACAAAGGCTTGCATTAGGCCTGCCAAGGCAAGAGACGACGATTCTTGTTGATTGCAACCCTTTCACTAGAACAAATTCATTACCTGTGACGACATGCTACTGTCTATTGAAGCCCCTACAGTAATACAGGAGTCGTAATCATCAGAACAGGGTTTGGGAGCTTTTCAAAATATAATCGCTTTAAGGTACCGGCCCGAAGGAAGAGCGCTACTAACTACTATCTGCCCAGGCTTCCATCATTACACGAACCTGACAATCACTGCTTTCCCTGGCACCTCCTAAAGCCTACCCAGACCCTGTAAACCATCCCTCTAGGTTCCTTTTTCTGATGTCCTTACATACGCAAGAAGTCCTACAAAGGTACGTAGGTTATTTGGGGTCCAGGCAAGCCCAAAGCCCTAAACCCTTAGACCTAACCCTAGGCCCTAAACCCTGAGCCAATGCCCTAAACCCCCCCCTATCCCTAAACCCGTCCTAAACCCAATGCCCAAAGCCCCACGGCCGAAACCCTAATCCCCAAACCTTATGCTCTAAACCATTAGCCCTTAACCCTAAACCCCAAGGCTCAAGCCCTAAACCCGAAGCCGGGTTCGCTTAGCTTTCAGACAGGGAGTTGAGCCCTACCTCCAGCCCCCAAACAGCATTAGGTTCCTTATTATGGGCTTCTGGGAATAAGCCCTTAGAAAAGTAGGCTGTTGGGGGCTCAGGTTATGTTCCGGGGCTTAAGGAACAGCGTTGAGGCTTTGCGTCTGGGATTTCGGCCTTCAGGATTCCGGATCGGGTGCTCCGCTACGGTTTTGTACATCGGGCTTTCAATCTAGACCCTAGGGTTTAGGGTTTAGGGTTTAGGGTTTAGGGTTTAGGGTTAGGGTAAACTCTAGACCTAAGCTGCGGGACCTGGCCTCTTTCTGGGCACAGAGACTCCGCGCCGTGGGGGGCGGGGTTTGAGGCTGCACAGGTTTCTTGGCCCTAAACCCTAAACCGAAGCTCCAATGCTTTCCAGAAGCGTTCTTTCGACGATAGAAGTTTCCACTGCCAGTCCAACTCGATATCGTTGACGAAGCGACACCTCTTCATGGTTTAGGGTTCAGCCTCCCTTCGGTAGACTAGTACTGCACCAGGTTAGGCAGATTCGGATCCGGAAGAAAACTAATATGTTCTGTTCAGGCATGCGTACTGTCGCGCTGCCCTCGCTTCGCCGGGTGGCAGGGCTGTTTGTTAGCCAAGAAGAACACACAAGCTGCTCGACTTCTGGTCGAGTAAAAAAAGCAGTCCTCTCTTCAAACTGAATCCATGTACCCAATTCTTGGGTGCTGGGGGGTTCAAGGCAGTAGTCGCTGTCCTAAACTTTTCAAAGGAGAAAATACAAAGAAACGCGCGGTAAGTCCTAAACCCTCCTAAGACCTAAGTACAAGTACTAAGAGCCCTCAAAAACAGAAGAGCCTGGGCTCCTCCTGACAAAACCCTCTTAACCCGAAGCCCTCAACCCTCAACCCTCAACCCGTTTTCAGCACGGACTGAGGTGCCGGCCAGCGCTAAACCCTAAACCCTAAACCCTAAAACCCTAACCCTAAACCCGACTACCGGCCCGCAAGCTGCAGGCATTGGACGGCATGCCGGGATGACCATCCCCCCCCGCCAACAACAAGCATGTCTAGGCTAAGGTTTAGGGTTTAGGGTTTCGGGTTTAGGGTCTACCCTCCCCCCTCCAACCACAAGCACACAAAGTTGTAATGACCCAGGCATGTCAATACCAAGATCCACAACACAAACAATAAAAAACAGAACCGCACCCCCACAGTAAATACCAAAAAGACCTACACCCTTTATCCCCCAAACAAAAACCCTAAACCCTAAACCCTAAACCCAAAACCCTGAACCCTAACCTAAACCCTAAACCCTGAACCCTAAACCCTAAACCCTAAACCCCATTATCCCTAGAACCCTTATAGGAACCCTAAACCCTAAACCCCATTATCCCTAGAACCCTTAAAGGAACCCTAAACCCTAAACCCTAAACCCTAAACCCTAAACCCCATTATCCCTAGAACCCTTAGAGGAACCCTAAACCCTATATCCCTAGAGCCCTTAAAGGAACCCTAAACCCTAAACCCCTATATCCCCTAAACCCTAAACCCCTAATCCCTAAACCCTAAACCCCTAAACCCCTAAACCCTAAACCCTAAACCCTAAACCCCTATATCCCTAGAACCCTTATAGGAACCCTCAACCCTAAACCCTAAA